GCCTTTAAGGTTCCCCAGGTAATTCTAAGAATCAGCCATTGCTGCAAACCACTGATCTGTGGCAATAGTCTCTCATTTCCCCACTGTATCTATCCTGTGGCAAAGTCTGAACTCACCATAAGCCCCATCTAGTGATACTTTCTACTTAAGAAAATCAGACATAGAAAATCCCATTTTTTCCAAAAGAGGTAAACTAACAAGTAATTCTTCTCTTTCAAAGAAGATTTTTTCACTTCCAAAATGATTTTTTTTTTACTTTTAATCATTCCCTGTTGATTAAAAGAAAGTTTCAATTTATTCAGCAACCACTAAGAAAGTGAAAGTTCAAACTACAGAATGGGAAAAATATTTGCAATAGATCTATCAGACAAAAGGTTCACTTACAAATAAAGGAGTCACAACATATGAAGAATTCCTAGTAATGAATTTTCAAAAGAAAAACACCCAATTTTTAAAGGTAGGTAAAAACATGCTTCTTACCACAAGCTATAATTAAAAGTTATCTGGAAATTCAACACCTGCTAATGTCCCAAATGCATCTCAAACTGAGTCTGGAATCACAGGTGCAGGGCCCAGGTAAATCTAAGAACCTGCGAACACTGAAAACCTCCTGACAAAGATATGAAATAGCCTATACATAGGCAAATAGATCATCGACCTTGTATTCCATTAGGAAAATGTAAATACAAACCCCAATGAGATACCACTATATATCCCGAATACCTAAAGTTAAATAGACAAGAGAGTAGCAAGTGTCGATGAGGTGTTTGGCAGTTTCATACAGTCAGCATAGATCTATCATATGGCCCAGGATTTCCACCCCTGCTTCTGAATGCAAAAGAATTAAGTGTGTATCTGCAAAAGTAACAGTACAAGAATGTTCACACTAGGTCTATTTGGGATAGTCAAAACTAGAAATAACCCATGTCTATAAACAGTGGATGAATAAATAAGTAATACAATTTTGGTATATTCAGCAGTAGAAAAAGAGAAAAACCTAATAATAGATGGAATGACCTGACTGAATCTCAAAAACATTGTACTATATGAAAAAACAAATTGGAAATAAAAACCACATTATATTATTCCAATTACATGAAGTTAAAAAAACAGTTTATTATAATAAAAATCAGGAAAGTGGTCATCTCTGGCAAAAAGAGGACAGTAATTAGAAGAAGCATAAGGAAATTTTCTAGGGTAACAATATTATGTAAGTTGAGTGGGATATTAGTTACAAAGGTGCCTAATTTGAGTTAAAATTCAACAGACTTCAGCCTCCCTGGTATCCTAGGGGTAAAGTCTTAGAGCTAGGACTGTAATGGCCTGAGTTTGATGCTCAGTCAGGGAGCTGACCCAAATGGTGCAACAGACGTCTCCTGTCTCACTCATTGCTCACTTCAGTAGCATATTTCAGTAAATCTGCCTATTCTGCTCTCCACTCTGTTGCTGGTGAATCCTCGCACCTCCCTACACCTCTGGCTTGCACCCCCCAAAATAAATTTTAAAAATCTTTTCTAAAAATTCAACAAACTCTACCTTTAACATTTATGCATGTTAGTGTGTGTGTATACATATATATATATATACTATTAATCTATACTATTATACTATACTATACTATACTATATATATATATATAGATAGATAGATAGATATAGATATATATCATAAAAATGTTCTCATATGCCAGGATTTAATGCTAGGCATTTATGACTCAAAGGTTAATAGTATTGCAAGGATATTTGTTCTAGAAGGGGATTTGAAATTGTAGGCAATCTAGAGGTAATTATTTTTCTCCTGGGTATCAGAATGTCAGCAGTATTATTGACAAATGTATTGGAGAATATGCCCTT